ATATTTGCCATACTGCAGCATTTCAATGATGCTTGCAAGGATTCCTCAAAATGAATTGCTTAAAGGTATGTACCTTATTATCTTTCATGGAACAACTAAAGAATACAGGGCCACCACTGTCCAGCAGTGCTTGTGTTCTACATGTATGTCCAAGAATTTTGCAAGTCCAAAATAAACATACCAAATGAATACACATGATCCATGATTCAAAAGTCTACACATGCTCGGATACCAATCTTGGCAAATTTCTATTCCATTATGTAATGTTTTGTGACAAAGAAAATAGGGATCTTTCAAGTAAAATTTATCATATTTCCTTCAGTGGAATTTCCTAAGATTTGCTGGACCATTGAGCATATTTGTGTCCTTCCTAGTGCCTGTCAATAAAAAAAATTCATAGGACCAAATTTGAGATAGAGGAAGAAAACACAAAATTTGAAATAGCAAGAAAATTTCTTTTCCCACCCTATTTTTTTCAGCTTTTAAATGATTGTCAGGACAATTTTCACAACTTGAGAAAATTTTGAGAGATTTCACCTAAGAAAATTGAAGAAAATCAAAGGCAAAGCCAAATTATCACCAGCAAGCACTTCCCTTTGTGGAACCCTAGCTTAATAATAAAAATAATTTTATTAATATATACTACAGCAAACGACAGTCCAATCCTTGCTTGTCACCTTTTGAATGCTTTTAATGACATAGAAAAGGGAAAACATGAAAAATTTCCTAGAAAAACAATACACTGGTGGACACACCAATGTTGAGCAAACACCCTATGGAGCCACCTAAATATAATTACAACAATCACCACCAGATAAGTGTTTGGTGGTGAGGTAACACACTTTAGTGGCAAGATTAATAATTTTACACAAAGTTGATCAATTACAGATATTCTGTTGATTGACTGCTTTGATTTGAGCTTTACCAAAAGACTTGCATGTTTTAAAAAACCCTGACTTACTGGTTTTTGTAGTTATTTTAAACTCTGTGAGGCAATTGGATCTGGCCACTTAAAGGCACAAATTTTACACTTTGATGCCAAGCTCACTGGTGGCCCATCTTCCTAATGGCAAGGTGACTGGGTATCTATATAATCACTGACTGATCAACAGTGTGAGTAATACAAATTTTTCTTAAGACAAGCAATCTACATGTAGCTTTGGATGTTTGATGGTTTGTTCGACCTCCAAAGCTATTAAAAACCTCATGGCCGCCAAAATTACCCAAATCCATCTCCATAACTCTTCTAAAGCTGAGCGCCTTATTCTTTTTTTAAACAACATGTTACATGTCTATAATGAAAACTACATATCACCAGAAAGCGGAGGCAAGTATAGTGAGAATTATTACTGGATACAAATGCATTCACCAAGAATCAATCAATGTGTATCTTTAAAAAATTAGTTGTAACATGAAAATTCACACTAACCGAAGCTAACATGACCACAAAATCGTTAAGGGATATTTTGGAGTGCTGAGGTTGCAAAAGCTGCCTCCGTGGAGATAATAAGGTATTTTAGAAGCCGATTCGTTTTGATTTGGATTCCAAGTGACTTAAACAAGAGTACAACTCATGACAGCAGTCTGCAGCGATCAAATAAGGTAACCAATCTCCGTTGACTCACCGTGACTGAAATATTTGGCTGGTAATTTAGTGTTAACAACTGGGTTGAAAACGTAAATTAGCCACCGTAAAGGGTAAAAAAGCTGACGTTTCGAGCGTTAGCCCTTCGTCAGAGCGATTGGCGGCTAAGTTATCGTTACTGATCATTAGCAGAGGTAGTATGGTGTACTTACCCAGCTATCAGTGGCCGATCGAAGATGTAAATGGTTCGTTAGCAGGAATCAGAATGAGGATGTTACGATCAACGTAAGGACACCGTGCATAAACACAACTCAACAACATTAATGGCTGCTAACCGAAAGACCAGGAGGGAGTTACTACATCACGGGCGACGAGCGGGGCAGGAAGAAATGACCGAAATA